CAGACATTGTGCTAAGTGTTAAGTTGTGGCAATTTTTACTGTAGTCTTAGCAGTTAAAACAGCCTTTAACAATGACTCTTAGTAGTTCTAGTATATTCTAATCCTCCTTTCCATTTTCACTGCCCTGCCCATATTTAGGCCCTTCTTATTTCATATTGTCAATAGCCTTCCCAAGTTCATTCTCTTTTCTCCCTGAACTGTCTTGCTTATTTCTACCAGGCTAACCTTCAAGTACTTTTGTCTTATCACTTTCTCTTTCAAATGTTTACAACTGTTACCTTTTATCTAATCTGAAGGTCAAACTCCAATGCCTAATTCTCAAGGTCCAACATTTTTGGGCTTCGCCTCACTCACTCAAACTTAGTGTTTACATTTTTTCTACTCTTATCTGACCCAACTCCTTCTCACCTTTGCTCCTGTAACTCTCCTTGCCTAGAATGTTCTACCAGTACACCACTTTACTTTCAAAATCTTACATATTCTTTAACATTCAGTTCAAATATCAATCTACCTAAACCCTCACCAGACTAATCCAGCTTGATGATAGCTACTAGTTAAGAGCCTAAGCTCCAGCCTACTAAGATAAGTTCTTTACAGCCCCATAGATGCTACTATAGTTAAGCATCATGGACCTTGGTTTTCAGGTAAGTAGACTATGGCTCATAGACACGAAATCCAACAGGCAGTAGAACCAAAATTTGATCCTGATTCTGACTCCAAAATCTAGTTTTTATAGCTCTGTAAGGCTGTCCTAATAATGAAATCCTTTGCGATGAATACTGACTGCTATCTGTATTATAAGCTACACTATTTCTTACTATTCAGGGCCTACAATAGGCAGTTAATAAATATTTAATTATTTGGTTACCTATTTACAAACTCCTCATCTATCACTGATTTTATCTAAGGATGCATCTTATATGATTAATTTACTTATATTGACATTTATATAATACATCACTTTTTAATAGATTTCATTATATAACAAAATGTTTACACTATTAAAAGCTATTAGGCATCAGGGTTGTTTTCTTTTTAATTCCTTTGGCATCAGGATTGTTTTCTTTTTTAATTCCAAGACTGGCATTTCTTGGATTTTTATTCCAGGACTGACATTTTGAGAGATATAATTTTTGAATTAACAAGAAAACAATTTAGTGCACAAACTCAGATTTGCCACCATTAATACCACTTTTGCTGATGACATTTAGAATGTTCCTTTTTTGAGGAAAGGGCCACAGCTAAATGCATGAAGATGGTTCAAATGTTGCTGAGATATCAAACGTCTGCTAAGCACAGTTAAGGAAGAACTGAACTCTTCAATCGCTTCTACGTGGTGCATCTCCACACCAAATTCATTCAGAGATGCAGAAAATAGTCATCAGACCAGTTCTACTTTTACACCTGTCACAGGCACTTACTTTAATGGACATTACTTTTATCCCCACCAATTATTTGTTAGGTCATGCTTTAGTATTAAAAGCAGTTTCCAGGATTAGTCAATATAGCCTAAAAGAGCCACTGAAGTGAAAAGAAAACAGTTCCCACCCACATCTGTGTTTTGCTTTGTAACCTGCATTTGTTCTGGCCCCTCCTCCTGTCTTTATAATACCATTGAAAGGAGGTATATAGCCCATTGTGAGCGCCATTCTACTTCTAAATTAAATCCCTAAAACCTCTTGGCTCATTATCTAAAGAGTCAGTTCCAGAATATCGGGTTTACAGTGACTGTAATTTACTTGATTTGTACCTTTCATTAAGCAATGTTATTGGAGTTTACTATACGTTTGCCAGCAAAATTGTGAGAACAGCAATAATTATTTAAAAACAAAAGTTTTGTATAATTCCCAAAAGAAGAGGCGAGTGCTGGTTGTTAAGCAAACAGCAGCTCACCATGAACAGTTTGTATCATGAACAATTGAGTTTCAGTGAGCAAATGTCCAGATACCTCAATCAGTATCGTGACCAGATGTGCAGCTTTGCTGAATGTTACTGAGTGTCCTTGATTGCTTATCTGAGCAGTACTAATTGTCAATAAGCACCGAGCAAGTCAGTGGCAAAGATTTCTAAGGCTTCTAGTGTGATCATCGGCTTTCCCTAGTACACGTTAGGAAGTAGGTAAATCTTGCAAACTGTGCCAAGAAAAGTCCTCAGGCTACCTGACAAGGTTTCAACTAGATCTTCAGGAGCAGAGATTTGTTTTACTGATAAAACTAATCCCTGTGGCAAAGCTAAATGTTCAAGGCTCCAGAGCTAAAACATCAAAAATATTTTTCCATTTGCTAATTGCAAACTGCAAACAGATCTGCTGCCGTCTCTCTCCTGAGTGGCATTTATATGTATGGAGAGAGAGGGTAGGTAGCTGTCACAGGCTCACTCTGTCCTCATCTTGCCCTTCATTGCTTTTTCCCCCTCTCCTGGCTTGCTAGAGCCACTCAAGCATGTAAAGGGATGTTTGAGGTAAAGGAGTGTTGAAGTCTCTGATGAGAAGTACTCATTCCTTTTTGTTAAAATATGAAGAATAAATTTTTCCCTTATTTCTGAGAATGGGTCATAGGATACAGGCTTTCAGGTCTATACCATGCCAGGGATGGTCAGTATTTCTCACGTAAGTTTAGTCTTGCGACATTTCAGAGAGGTACACAGGGACTGCCACAGCACAGCTTCCAATCATTAACTTTTTTACCTGTCAAAATCCATGCCCCCTCTTAAATGTTACAACTTACGGTTCAACACTTTAGTTCAGTGGTTCTCAAAATGTATTCCCTCCTGCACCCCAACCAACAATATCAGCATCGCCTGAGAATTTGTCAGAAATGAAAATTGTGAGGCCCCACACTAGAATTATTGAGACAAATTCTGGGGGTTGGTGGGACTCAGTGATCTGCATTTTGCAAGCCTTCCAGGACTTTCTAACGCAGGCTTGGTTTTGAGAATCACTGCCTTCGTCAATAATCAGGTTAGATCCCGAAGGGAAGGTGTGTGGGGTATATGGCAATTCAAAGCTTGACGGAAGAGAGTATTTCATTGCTGCATCACCTATAGCATACCAGAAACCAAGGATATAAATGTGAGATATACTGTTGATCTCTACCAGAAGCATATTGTCTCAGACAAATTAACAAAAAGCTGTATAATACATAAGGGTTATAAAACAGGCAAATACAATGTTCCATAATGGCACAGAAGAGGGCAATTCTACCTGGGAAGGTCAGAGTAGGCTTTAAAGAAGTATAAAACCCTGTAGAGACTGAAAATTTATTATGTGCCTGGCACTGCTCAAGATCTTTGTATATTTTATTTTACTCCCTAAGTATTTCCAATCTCCTCATCTTATACAAAAAGGAACAGAAGTCCAAACAGGGTTAGTACAAATGTGGAATCTCAGTACTCTTATTCCACATGACCACTTTAACTAGGTCCTGAGGACAGAGCTGTGGACATGCATGGAGGCAGTGACCAGCAACCCATGTTTGGAGAAAGACACTGTGCATGGTGAAGGTGAAGCTCCTTAGGTGGATGGGGTGGCCTGGGACGGGGGCCATGAACAAGGATCAAGTAATATTATAAAGGACCTTTGTGTGTGGACTTTTGCCCAGAGACAGTGAGAAGCAGAAGGAAAAATGTGTGCACTGGGGAACTCTTCGGTCTATACAGAAAGGGAAATCGGAAAGCAGGTGATATGTACCTCCATTCTGTTCTGTTTCTGCTGCTCAAATTGTTGACCCCTGTGGCTGAACTCTGTATTCTTTCCCCTCCAGAAATGGGTCTCACTTGTTCTGACAATACTGCAACCTGAATTCGGGGCTACCCCAAATCCAGAAGGGCCCACTGGTGTCTATTGCTTTCTTGGAATAGGTCCGTCTGTGTGGCTCAGGACCTTGAGGTTTGTGATCTCCCTGACCGGGGCTAAGGTAATGAAAGGACGGAGCCTGGACCCGGGCATGCGCTGCAACAGTTAATCAAAATGCAGTGTCCCAAATGGTGTTATCATTGGGTTTTGCTGACTTCATCTCCCAGAGGGCTTTTCCCGCTGCAAAACAATATACCTCTCTATCTCACGTTACAGATTTAAAGTTTGGTAATGTCTGGACAACTGAAGAACAGAAAAATTATTTCAGATTAGACTTAGCAACACAGAGACGTTTTTAGGTATGTGTTCAGATAAAAATTCTGAAGGCTTTTACTCTCCTCGCACCCTAGGTTGCTTAATATTACCCAACCTTATCTTCACAATAATCACAAGGTAAAGCGGTGGCCTTGGTGGTCATAGACTAGGGGTCAGAAGGACAACATTTCAATGCTTTTCATTACTTATTAGCAATGTGACCTCAAATAAATAACTTAGCCTTTGATTCTGTCATTTCATCATTATTTGTAAAAATGACTGAAAATCGTACCTTCTAAGTAGGATTGCTGCAAGTATTAAAATGGCATTTAGAATGTGAAAACATTTATCACTAAATAAAAGTTGGTTTTTGTCATTACTATTATTAGCTGGGAGTAACAATATTTTTGTTATTCAATTTAAGTCATTTTAAAATTCCATTTGAAAGGTATTAACATTAATTCAATGATTTTTAGTGAAATAACTTGGTAATATATTGTTCTATAATTCTTCTATAAGTTCTTCTTTTAACTAGCAACTTAGAACGAAAAATGTTATGTGAATAAAGGATTTCTCTCCTTTTCAAACCTGTGATTAATCCCTTCTTAGGAAGCCTGTATAATAAATCTAGACACTATTTCAATTGAAAATCAAGCAAGAAAAAATAGTATGAAAACCTCACCAAGACACCCAGAAGCCCAGGCTCATCATCATCACGACATAACTACTGAGTGTCTTTATGTACCGAGAACAATTTAGAAAATTTCCCCAGACTGCCCCAGAAGCCATAGTTTCATGACACATCTTGAATTTGCAATGGAGTTTGTGAGTTCAGAATGGCACGAAACCAGGAAATCTGGCATAAAAATGGAACTAGTGTTTAAAAACTCACCTTATCTCCTTCTTCTACGTGGCAGATTGTCTCCTCAGTTGCAGGATTAGAGACAGGAAATTTCTTGCCACTCACGGAATTATGCCATTCATTGTTTATGAAGATCTGTAGGGATGGAGAGAAAGTAGGTAAAAAGGTATTTGAATATGCAGCCAAATTTGGAAATTTTTATAAACTTAAACTAAAGCATTACAGAATGCCTAAATGATGCATATCCCTTCACCTCTCAAAATTTTTTGGCTGTTTAAGACATGTGATGTGCTCACATGTGTACGCATGCTAAAATAAAGTACACAGTGCTTTTAAATTTCACGAAGATGTGCACTCATTTCAACCCTAGAAAATGTAGACTGGAGAAAACAATCTAGAGAAGAATGATTTTACCTGCAATAGCCATGCATTAGAGGCAAGAGTGGAGGTTTAAAGGGCTTGATCTTTGTAAAACATTGCTTCTATTTTCCACTTCAATTTCTCAACATCCTCATTTTGGGCTACTGGTGATTTGGCATTGTAAGTGACTACTTTCTAACTCTTTATTTTACTGTTTTAAAGCTAGTAAAATAATTTTGCTTAAGTAAATGATTTTAAAAGAAGTTTTCTCAGAAAAAAATAATGACATGATTTCACTGGCTTTTAAAAAGCATAGGAGTTTCATTCTCTTTTTGAAAAGATTTCCTGATAATTTATTTGTCCTCAAATGACATCAGGTACTAGATTTCTCAGTGATATCTAAGACATGCAACTAAAAAAAAGAGAGAACTCTAGTAATATGCAATTCTGTCCCATGTGTACTTTAATAGAAATATTAAAAACCATCGGCATGTCATTTAAAAAGTCTCAGTTTCAACTTTTACATCACTGAATTTTTGCATTTCATTAAGCAGCCAGCTTTGATATCTCATTCACTTGTCAGTAGAGAAAAATATTTGACAAAGCCAAGTTAAGAAATACCCCTTTTGTGATAAATAAATCTATGTTCTGTTTCTGACAAAAGCTAGTATTTCTTTTGTCTCTTTCATCCCTTTATTTCTTGTGTATTCTACTTTTTCTTATCCATTATTTGAAGTCTAAAAATAAGTCCAAAATACATACATAATATGTAATCATAACTATAGTATTGGATGTTATATTACAAATTTCTGTTACATTTATGACTGGATGAACTAGATTATTTAATTTGGAATCATGGGTAGCTGATACATGTAGTTTTAAAAGAAGGGTGACATATGCACTGGGTTTATAATATATACCTTAATTCTGACACCCCTCCTTACTTGATATTTAAAGATAAGTTACTGATAGCTCAACCCTGAGGAAGAGTGTATTGAAATACTCCCTCCAGGTTTTAATAAGTTGCTATGCTAAATGCAAGTTACTTAGTTATTAAAATTTTTCCATTGATCATTATCAAGATTATACATTGCTAATCAGTTACTTATACTGTGTATATTTGACATAAACACTATGAGTGTTGAAATCAACCTATGAGTGTTCACCCACTTATTCTTTCATGTAGTGTCAAAGACATGGCTTAATATTCTGTCAAATTAATAAAATATATTACTATGTATACCTAAATGCTTACATATTATCAATTAATTATATTTTCTGTGATTTACAAGATTATTTAGACCAAAATATTTCCCTGATCTCCTATGCATCCATTGTGAAATTTGTCCATTTTTAAATAGTCATTTTTAAATGTCTGCCTTCCCTCCTAAGCTGTAGGCTCCATAAGGTCAAGGACTGTGTTTGTTTAGTTTTCTGGTTTATCCTCAGTGTCCAACACAATTCCAGCCCTCAAGTGACTTTAGCCTCAGTAAATAGTTCTTAGGTACAATTGAATGAAATAACCTACAATCCGTTGGCTACCCATAGCTATGACCCATAGCATTCTGCGCATGAGTACACTGTGATATTTGTGATTTGCTATAAAATGAGGAGGAGGAGAAGCCTCCTTGTTTGCCTTTTTGTACAAAAACAATTATCCATATAACAAAGCAGCGGCATCCTATATATTTGGAGGAGTTCAAAAGAATTGTAGTCTAGCCTGGAATTGACATGAAAGAGACGTGGGCATGCATAAAGGAATGGAGAAGGAGTCTGAAGTAGTTCAGATGAAGAGGCCAGAGGTGCAAAGATACATTTATTGGGGTATGAGAAAGATGGAAGCATCAAGAAAATCCTTTTCTCTGATAGGATAATTGAATACAGATGAAGATCATAAAATTAATCATATCACCCCTTGAGAAAAACATTGGCTTCTTAGTTCAAAATTGCAAGAAACATAAATTCAGATTTAAGTGCTGATTTAAATGTCTCTTAGAGTGAACCAGCAATTTCGCAATCAGAAACACATTTTATAGACTCCCACAGTTACTCTTAAAGAGTATTTTCTTTTATCCATCCTTAGCCCTCACTGCTTATTATTTTTCTTCCCAGGGGATGACTGGGAGAGACCTTAATCAATTTGTCCCAAACTCAGCTCGCTGTCATTTCTAGCTTTATGCTGCTCCCACCCCAAACTAAAATTCTAAAGTTTGCTCATGCAATTCTCATTCTCTCTCACTCACACACACATACAGTCTCTTTTGTCTCAATTTGTTCTATACTATTATAAAAAACCTTTCCCTGTTCTCCCTGCCACCTACCTCTGCCTAATTAAGATTTAATTTTCACTGTGTTATCATAATCTTCCCCAGCCAACACAGTTTAGATTTTGTCTACGCCCCTCCCCTCCTTAGAACACTGGTGATTCTCCATTGTCAAACTCCTCAGCATGGCAGTCAAGGAGGTTAGGGATTTTGCCCCAATGTGCTATTCCAACCTTTTGTCCTACCATCCCCTCAGTTTACCCTTTATTTCAGACTCAATCTACTGCCTCCAACACCGTGCCCTTCTTCGCTCCAGACCTTTACTCATACTGTCCTTCATACTGGAATTGCACTACTTTCTTCTACTTATACTTCAAACTCCAGCTTATAATAGGTCATCTCCTCATGAAGATTTCACCAGTTGCTCCAACTGGATTTAATCTCTTTTTTTATTTTATTATCCAACACAACATGTTAGCACCCTACTATTAAATTCCATTTATGTTCTGCTTTGTGTTAATGTTAGATATCTATATCTCAGTGCATGAAATTCTACATGAAAAACTAAAGACATTACAGTACTTGCTCCAGATTTTTTTAAGGAGTCTTTCAAAATTTGTATTAGATTTACTGTCACTTGCTGTCCTGCCTTCTCTCTGCGCTGAAGGTTGTATTACCTCCTCAGACTTTGTATCTCTAAATTAAGAGAACACAATATCATACCCAAAATTCCACCCTTCTACAGTATGATTTCACTAAAAATAAAATGAAAACAGCATACAGAATTGATTACATTCTGTTAGGCCTATGCTGAAACTTTCCAGCTCTTGCCTGAGTCTCTTATCTTTATGTCTGTGATAGTTTATGGTTTCAAGTTCTCAATATATTCTCAATACATTAAAGCTTATTTCACTCTACATAATCTCTTTTGGTGAAAGACTCATTACAGTATGT